GAAAACTTTCCACAGTCATAGAAATTAATCTTAATACTAATTGAAACATTGCCCGCTATGATTCTTCGCTGTGTGTATGGCACACGAATAAAAAGTGTCGATATTGATATATTTGATCGGAACGAACTACGTACGATTATCTATTTCGGCGCCAAGCTCCTCAATAAATATGTCGAACTCGTCATCTTCATCTTCATAATTCAATGCCGAACTCATTTTACACTTATTCCTTTACTCGACTGAAATCTGAAATATGTATGAACAAAAGTCCTATTTTAATAATATATAAATACAGTGTAGTTTCAGTCTGATTAAAATCCGATATATGTTCAGGCTCCCATTTTACTTTTTTTTTTTTTATTTCGATATTTTATTTATTGTTATTTTGAGGTTTTACTTGTTGTTATTCATTTTCAGACAATATATATTATATTAATAACGGCAAGTAGTACCAAAAAATAAATATAAAAAATGAAACCTGATAATTAATAAAATATGGAAATTAAAACAAAATGTGTGTAAATCTATGTATGACTTTAATCGGATTGAATATATTTTATTCCGCTAACAGTAATATGTTCGTGAACACATGATGTCATACCGTGTGACTTTGATATTTGACATATATGACATTCGGTTTAACTCGCTAGACTAGACTAAAGACACTCAAATACCGATCGCTTTGAAATTCTCAGAAACCTGACTCAGTAACAATTATTTACTGCGTATTCCTGCACCGATCCGACCAAACCTAATATAAAGTGTTCTTTGTGCTTTAAACATGAGACGTGTGCGACGGTGTTTGTTTTTAAAAATGTACATGGTTCACAAATAGGTGATGTTTTACATATCAATAGAGTCGAGGAGACATAATAGCGGATAAGGAGACGGAGTTCATGACCTAGTCTTAAGTCACTGACCGAGTTTTAAAGTGAACAAAATATACACGTATGTCCCTGGGTAAGGGATATATATATCCTTCATATTTTACGCTGACACTACACCTATACGACACACACCCGTCGTTACGAACAATTATTGTATGGAATCTAACACATGTCTTAAATCATTCACCGCCGTCAACTCAGTCCACTATGAATATAATTCTTTTAGTGGTCTGAAGTGCAGTGATTAGCGGTGTTCCCAGTGCAGCGTGATCTTACTCTCGCATTGCATAGAAGATTGACCACAATTAGCTCACCTACACTGGACACTGTGATACGTCATTCCCCATTGGGAAAACTAAAGTTACTTACCAATGAACAAAGATTTTCAAACATAACTCGTCATACAATCGCGCGTAGTGTTACTCCTGCAGCCTTTTTTCGACGCCAGCGCCCTCTGTTGATGACATTTATAATTCATCTGTTTTCAAGGGTTCGTGCAAATGAACAATGTATTTCATACGCGCTGTAAAATACATTGTGACTCTTGACTCTTTGCGTTGAAACTTAATATGATTTCAAAATACTGTAAAACGAATTATTTTCACTGACATTTAAGTTCACTTTTTTGATAATTTGAGCATATTTTGTTAAGTTCACGAATTTTTCAGGAAAGCAGTGAAATTAGTTATTATTTTACATATTCACGAGGATTTCATTTAGCGGATTTTTCTTGTCAGCGAAAATAGCGAAGTTAGAATCCAGTGAATGAAGACGATAGAATGTCTATTTGTGCAAACCGTGTTTTTGTAAACTGGCAAAACTATCGAAACTGATAACATATCGGCTTTCCCGATCTGGTCTTCGTTGCCACACAGTCCCTGTTGTTGCAACAAACACATAATTCCCCTCAGTTACAGTACTAAACGCTTTCTTTTGATGGTCAGTTCGTTCACAGAGAAAAAGCTAGCAACACGTTTATTTCTATATTCCTCCGTTTCACTTTTACCTCGTATTCGTCGTTTCTATAATGAGTTCTGATTGGGTGATGCAAATGAGCCGAAATAAATCTTATAATCGCCTGAGGGCGTGCGACATACAGTAATTCGTGGTGAAATCAGCCAAGGGTTAATGTTGGGGCTTTGGCCGAATAAATGGTTCTTGGCTGGCGAAGATGATACTAAGCATACGTTATTGATACGACTAGT